GTAGTTTAGGGAAGTTACTTGACAGAGCTACGCCACTGCATCGTATTTGAAAGTTCACACCCTGAAGCCCAACTATCTGGGTTTGTACCCTAGCTCTGCCACTCATTAACTGCAGCTATGGGCAGGTTTCAATTTTCATCTGTAAAAAGGGGGATCATAAAATTACAGCCAGAGTGGTAGTGTAAAGGTTAAACGAGGTAATGCATAGAAAGTGCTTGGAGTAGTGTCTGAGTGGCCTGCATACTTGGTCAGTGTTAGCTTTGGTATTGTTGTGAGGTAATGCATAGACAGTGCTTAGCGTAGATCTTGGCCCAGAGGAAGGAATAAATGTCATGCTCCCTAAGTTCTCCTGCACCCCCCAACATGGCAGAGGATAGTCGTCCTGGGCTAGAGGAAAGGTGTGAGGAGGAAGCAGCAGAGGGGCCTTTCAGATGCTCCCTCCACAGATGGAAGAACTGGAGAGTCAAAATCTCTCTGAGGTTTTTGTGTGCTGGGAAGCAGGAGAAGAGCAATTCCTAGCCAGTGAGCTTTGTGGGGAGGGGTCCAGATCAGCTTTACTAACTAACCATTGTTTCTTCACCGCTCAGCACAGGGCCGGGCAGGCACCCAGGAGTGTTTGTTAATCATTGAGTGCAGGAGGGCCTCTTGGCCATTTATTGGGGAAGGGAGTGAATATTAACTACATTTGAGATTGAGGTAAGAAGTTGGAGACATCAAATTAACCGGATCAATGAATAGTTAATAACTAAGTAACTTATGGAATTAGGTATGTAAATTAAATTAACTTAAATTTAATGTGTTAGTTACATTTAATACATACCATTCCAGATCAGTTCATTGAAATAAAGAGCTCTATGTTTCCTATTGCATAATAGAGAAGCCTGGAAGTCCTTGTAACTTCCTCCATACTTATCACAGTGATCAGTGTTAAAAGCCTTAAAATGCAAATGGCTTTTATTCTGGGATAGCAAGGATGGGGTCCTGGGAGGAGCAGCAGCCAGGGTTCCTTCCTAGAGCTTGCAGCCTGGTCTGTGGTTGGCACCTTCTGTGTAGATCAGCAAGTGGTGATACATTTCTCCTAAGGTATTATTACTCCTGCCTTCCTCACCTTCTCTGCTCTGCACACATTGGACTTTTGCCTGTCTCTTCTCTGAGCACACCAAGCTTTTTCCTAACTCAGCAGTGGTCCTTGCTGTTCACTTTTCTGGCATATTTCACCTCATATCGCTGCGTGATTCTTCCTAGGTGTAGAGAGGTCTTCCCTGAGCACTCTGTCTAAAGTAGCACCCTACCCTCTCCATTACTGTCTTTCTTGTGCTTGGTTTTCCTTTAGAGCATCAATATCTACCAGGCATCGTATATCTGATTTTATTTGCCTTCCTTACTAGAGGGAAACATTGTTAAGGCAAATGTGATGCCTGAAACATTGCCTGGCCATAGGAGGGACTCAGAAATATTTTACTAAATTAATCGATTAGATATTGCAATTTCTTGTAGACAATATCGATCTGGGACCAAGTTGGATGACCCTGTTTACAATATATTATATCTGATACTATCAAGATATATATAAAAAAGAGATTCCAGTTTTATTGAGCGTGTGAGGGATTTTTAAAGCGTTTTTTTGTTCCAAAGGTTTAATTTATAAATTGGTTGCTTGAAATTGAGAACATATCATATATTCCAAAAAAGGGTTCTTGTATCAACCCAGAAAAATACCTACCTCAGATGCAAGAAATTCAGGCACACATGGAGAAAATACTTCCTGATAGATGACCCTGCTATTTTACTTTTATCCCTCCTTTTTCTAAAAAAGATTTCAGTTAGCTTACAAGAATCATTTAGTCATTCAAGTATCTAAGTGACAAACATTTTATGTCTCCTGCTAAGCATTGGGGTGCAGCATTCAGTAACGTATACACCATATGTCTTCATTGCACTCTGATGGGGAGGTACGTTAAACTTGAAATTATACTAATAATTGTTTAAAATTGTGATTAGACCTATGCAGGAAAATTAAGGAAGGGGAGAGGATGGTTCTCCTTGGACAGGCCAACCCACCTTCTGTTTCTCGAATCACTGATTTTCTAAAAATGTTCCATGCAGTGGAGATTCCAACAGCCTGGGAGGCTAGAGGAAGGCCTCAGAGCTGCCAGGGCTGGATGGCTGCATAGAGATGGAAGTTGAGTTTCGTTCTAGTGTAAAGGCTCTAAAATAAACAGAGAAATAGCTTTTCCCAACTAGGTAAATGAGCCAAAATTATAAATAATAGGTTGGCTGAAAGCAGGTAAATAAAAGGGTAGGAGTTTTCCTTATTTCTTTCCCCTCTGGCAGCTCTGCTGAGGTCCTTTATATTCACAGTGTTTCACAAATTTTAATATACCTGGTCTCCAACTTACACTGATGTTACACATTTCCTGTGGGAATGACCATTCTGTCTTAGTACCGTCATCTGCTGACCTTTCCGTGGACGTTTGGAGGTTTTAGGGTAGATGTTCTTAGGTTATATTCCAGCAGAATCTTTTTTTTTCTTTCAGTTTCATTAAGATGTAATTGACAAATCTGTAAGATATTTAAATTATACATTGTAGTGAATTGATATACATACATGTTTTGAAAGCATTCCCATCTTCCAATTAGTTAAGATATCCATCACCTCTCATATCATATTTATCCTTTTGTGTGTGTTTGTGAACATTTAAGTTCTATTCTCTTTGCAAATTTCATTCAGTAACAGTGTTATCAACTATAGTCATCATGTTTTACATTAGAGACGCAAACCTAATCTAGCAGAATCTTAACTGGAAACCCCACAGTGGTTATGAGCTTGGGCTCTGGGGTCAGACAGACAAGGTTCAAATTATGGCCCTGAGCAACTTAGACAGTTTCCCTAGGCCTCTTCATGTATGTTTGTGTGTGTTGCCTGGAGGAGGCACTGACAGTCCCTGCCTCCTGTTCTGTTTGGAGTAAACTCTATCATGCATGTAAGATGGTTAGCACAGTGCCCTACAAGGAGTCCCCGGGGAGCTTCTGAGGGCATATGAAGTTGTTGTTAATAATACTGTGATAGTGCCTGGAAGTATCAGTTTAGCTTAGCTGACTGTCTTTTCAAAGCTCCTGGGGAGGTTAAATGATGTCAAATTCTTTAAAATCTTTGCTTCGGAGTCCATCCGAAAAAGGGGAAAAACTTTCTCTTACTGGAAGTGATAGGACTCATAACTCGGGCTAGTACTTGTTAATATTGCTTAATTTATCAGTGTTAAAAAAAACTATTATATAGCCTGGGGTACCAACTACCAATTTTATACCTTTCTCCGCTTTGAAAAAAATTTATTCAGGTTTCCATAATTCTAGTTTATAGATTACAATTTTAAAAACGGGCACTATATTTAGAAGTGAGAAATTTTTACACTTTAGCTACTTAAAAATACCACAGGGTCATTTTCTGGAGCACATTTGGCATTCCCATATTTTGGAAGGCACTTAACTTGTGTGTGATGATGTTGGGGCCAAAGCTTCTGAGGCGTATGCACTGCTGACTGCTCCATCCCAGGCAGCAACCCAGGTCTTCACTGTCTGCTTTTGTGCATTCAGCTCAAAGCAGGCCCGAGAGACCTTCATTATGACTTGCTCATTGCTGTGGGATTTCTTTCTCTTGAAGCAGCCTATTGGTAGTTTTTGAAACAATTGAAATTCTGGGAGTACTCAAATTTGGATGATATTCTTTTCTTGGCACAAAACTTTCTCAAAAACTACAAGAGCTTGATTGTTGTGGGAAAATTAATCTTTTTTTTAAAAATTAATTAATTAATTCATTTATTTATTTTATTGATTTTTTACAGAGAGGAAGGGAGAGAGACAGAAACATCGATGAGAGAGAAACATCGATCAGCTGCCTCCTGCACATCTCCCACCGGGGATGTGCCCGCAACCCAGGTACATGCCCTTGACCGGAATCGAACCTGGGACCCTTCAGTCCGCAGGCCGACGCTCTATCCACTGAGCCAAACCGGTTTCGGCAAAATTAATCTTTTTAGCTTAGAGTTTGCTTTTTGCCCACGTTGGTTTCTTTGAAAGTTCTTGGGGGAATGTTTCCCTTTGCAGTGAAATAAAGAACACTCGGACTACAAAACCCAGCATTCTTAGGTGTCATGATACACACATGAGTTCTTTAGGGTATATGTGGTACCAGTTAACAGATGCTTGGTTTCCCTTTGACTTGAAAGTTATTTGTAAAATAACAGTCATGTTTTACCAGTTGACTTAAATCTCCCCTTTTCATCCCCTTCTATACATATTTAATAGTGATCTTATTTCTTAAGATTACAGTGAATTTGAACATACACTTTGGTTAGTATAAAAATGTCTTTCTTAGAGACTGTGTGATATTGTGGTGACTTTGCTATTTACTGACTTGGTAGATGGTGGTGAGTTACTGTTTCCTGGAAAGTTGTACTTCCCATGAAGGTCCAGAATAAGTTCCAGTGCTCTTGGTTGGAATAGTCAAGGCTCTGCCAGGGGTATTGGTGGTGGAGATTAAAGCATGGATCAGGTGGGGTCCAGCTGGCCACTGTGGCCTTTACAGTATGTGCTGAAGGCATTCACTTAATAAGGAGTGTTGATTGTGAGTTTTTAAATGTTCTAAAATGCTGATGGTAGCCTTTGACTTAAGAGTAAGTGTAAGCTTAAGCTGCCAGATTCTCTGGGAGTTTAAAGCAATATGGCACCAGAGATTACATATTTTGAAAATGGCTGTGGGTGGCTGGAACAAAACAGATTAACGCAGACATGCTTGAGGGTCAGTGGTTTCCTTTGGAGACTCACAAACAGACATCAAAGCAGCTCTGAAATGCTTGACATCATGGGCTTGGGCTTGGCTTGGCTTGCCAGATTTAGCTTCAGTTACATGTTTGCATATTTGCTTATTGGACCAGAAAAAAACAAAATGCTAGCTGGGATTTCTTCGTTTTGCTATGATCCTTCTGTTTCTTGACTTGCAGAACACTACTGAGCCTGTGGCAACCGCTGAGACCCTGGCCGAGGTACCCGAACATGTGCTCCGAGGACTTCCCGAGGAAGTGAGGCTTTTCCCATCTGCTGTTGACAAGGCCCGGATTGGTGAGTCCTCGGGTCCGAGAAGGAGCAGGGGAAGGGATTGCAGGCTGCAGGCAGACTTCCTTTGGGGCATTTAAGGTAGGGAGCTCCCCATAAAAGCAGCAGATTATACTCTGACTTAGAAGATTATGTGGTGTTTATGCAGTTTCCAGTCACGAATCCAGGGTGGACATAGATCTTGTGTGTTTGATCTTATTTTTATGTTTTAATCTTTGGTCATAAGGCAAAGGAAATAAATGATAAAAATTTAGTCAAAGTACAGTCTTGGAATATATCATGTTTATATCCTGTGGGTTGTTTTTTTTTAAAGATGTGCTTTTGATATTATAATTTATGTATATATATGTGTGAATAAATTTTTAATAAATGCTTTTTCTAATCCTCATTGGAATCTATTCAGTAACTTGAGCATTTAAATTGTATCATTCACATGAAAGTGTTCGATTTTATAGCTCCACTAATTTATTATTAGCCGTTATCAAACAGGATTCATAGCAGACTTACAGAAAAGTGGGATTTGTACATCCTAGCTGAACAGGACTGGCTGAGATGCCACCATCCTGTATGTGAGGAAACTGAGGCCAGGAGATGAGGGAACCTGTTGTCAGCGAGAGCCACTGCTGGGCACCGGTTCCCTTGACTCCGGGTGGCCTCCTGCCATTTTAACCACTGCTGCTTTATCTGTCTGCCTTATGGCCAGTTCAGAGGAAATAGAAACACCCTTAAGAACACCACAGAACAGCATACTTCTTGGCTCTTTGAAACTCCGCAAAGTGAGTTGCCCCCGTAGCTAAGATTTTAGGAAACAGTGAGGAGAGGGTTTTTCATTTTGAACAAACAAACTTTAAAAATATTTATTAAAAAACCTATATTTCTAACCCTTTATAAAAGCAGCTCATGTTTATTGGAGATCATTGAAGTCTGTAGAAAAATAGAAAGAAGAGTTTAAAAATTATTTGTAGTTTGACTATATTCCAGTTTTTTTCTCTTTAATTGTGCTATTCTCCAAGTATTCGTGATTGTACTGTCCAGCTAATTTTACATGTAAAAATTAAAAACAAGCAAGTATATAAAACATTATTTTTTATTATAAAACAAAATAGGTTTTTTAGAGGCTATTTGCAAAATATAGAATATAAAGAAGAAAAAGAAAAATCACTGTTGAAGACTTAATTTGCTTTCACCTGATCTTAGTTGATTTAACATCTTGCTTTTAGGCTGTAGCCTTTTAACTATTTTGTGAAACTGAATTGATTTTAGTGCTTCAATCTATTTTTTTTTCTTTCCACACCGAGAAGGGTGGTAAGACAATCTGAGTCACAGCTCTAGGTGATAGCGGCACTATTAGACCTTGGTTCTTGAGTTTGGCAAAGACAGAATTCAGAGCCAAGAACTTGAGTACAAGACGTTTATTTAGCCTTTTAGAAAAAAAAGTCACAGAGGCAGAAGAAGTGAGCCAGCAGGGCTGCATGGACTCAGGAAACAAGTTACAGAAGCAAAAGAAGGGCCCTTGGAACTTAAGAGAAAGAAAGCGAAAGATACGGGCCTAAGGAAAAGAAGGGGGTGGGGGAAGGCACAGGTGTGCTCTAGAGAGAAAGAGAGAGCACACTAGTGCTTCAGTCTTTAAAGTAACCACATGCATTATAAAAATATTGGTTTTCTTTTCTAGGTGTCTGGGCCACTAAACCAATTTTAAAAGGCAAAAAGTTTGGACCATTTGTTGGTGATAAGAAAAAAAGATCTCAGGTTAAGAATAATGTGTACATGTGGGAGGTAAGGAAGAATTTTGTGTTTTTTGTCTATCAGAGTTCTAGACATTTAAACAAAATCTGTTCTCTTAGGATCTGACATTCGGAAATTAAAACCACTATTTTAATGTGTTCTTTAAAAATCAAGAATATTTTTATTAAGTAGAAAATGTGTTTCCATGGATGCAGACTGCTGTTTACATTTGTATTTTGAGACTGTTTGGCCATCCTCAACAATACTTGTCAAATCCACTCTTTATATCCCCTGTTCAGGGCTTTTGCTCTGCAGCCAAGACTTTCGTCTGTCACTTTACAGGCTTCCAGATAGACACCATAAAAGACACCCCAAGGTGGCTGCATATAAAAACATTGTTCGGGTCCTCTGTATTTTAGAAAATCATCTGTGTTGCTGGAATGTTCAGAGTTGAATATATTTAGCACATGGCACATTTATATTGTGCTTTGAACTTTTCAAAAGTCTTTTATTCGGTTTATTTCATGTTCTCCCAACAATCCTGGAAGAGCAGAACATTAGCACCCTCCTTACAGAGGTGAAGCGGTTCAGAGCAGAGGTGAACTCCTCCTTCCTGTGGGGCCCAGATGTTGAGAGTGGAGTCGATGCAGAACTAGAATCCACATCTACGGACAGTGAGGCAATTAAAAAGGTTTCATTGGTTCATATCCTACCGTTAGCTTTGTGACTCTGGCTAAAACCCTCAATTTTAAAATGAAGAGAATAAAAAATATCTCATTAAGGTAGCTGTGAAGACAAAATATGTTGTTAATTGTTTCTTGGAGAGTTGCATGCGAATTCACCAGTTGTGTGGAATTTAGTTCAGATGAGGTGCCCTCTGGAAACTCCTCATGTTCTTACAGGAACTGAGTGGTGTGACTCCTTTTGAAAGTAAGTGGAGTTTTTCGGTTGTGAGGAAAAGCATTCCAACCAGATTGTCTTAAATTGAGTCACATCTGTTTCACATGTAAACATGCACAAGCCTAAAAATAAAATATGCATAGGAAGTGTCTGGATACTTTACATCAAGAAGTTCTGTGGCATTTGTACGTTTGAAGTATATTGTGGTTCTTCTCAATGTTATAAGCAGTGTTTCTTAACTTGAAATTCCGATGACTTCTCCCAATAATTTTGAGTTCTTTGTTGTGAATCCCTTATAATAAATCTAATGGCAGTTAACCCAAGGGGCTTTAGGAATGAGGACTTACCCTGAGGATAATTACATTTGCTATTTCACCACTTTTGAGGTAAGAGAGTGCTTGCTATATTTGTAGAAAAACTGCCCAGTCAAAATATGCTATTACCCTAAGTGGTCACAGGTATCTTGACGACAAAATTAGGCTCCAAACCGCATTTTTAATTTTACAAGTTTCCCAAGGGAAGCTAACAAATATGATCTTCTGGGTTAGTGCTCACCTGAGTGAGGATAATGTCAGGGACCCAGGAAATGTGTGCTTTACTTCTGGGTATAGAATGCTAAGCTTGTACAAATGCCACTGATATTAAACCCAAGTTTATGGTACCTATTTTACCCAACATAGCAGTTTGATATTGTTGGGCATATTGTATAAATTATTAATGGTGCCTTTTCTCCATTAAGCTTCATTTATATTGAAATTTCTGCATAGTATGAATTCATAGTAGCTTGGTGAAAATTGTGATTTGGAGCCATGGCATAATAGGGATTCAGTTTCTACTATTAATATTCTCTTGTTAGCTTAAGATACCACAGTTTGTGAACCCTTATGACATTGCCAGTTCTTGTGGGTCAGGTATAAAGATTTAGTTTTTGTCAGGGCTGGCTTTTCCTTCCTCCAGTTAAAAAACAACAACAATCTGGAGTAGGGGTTTCAGGGCTGGGTGGAAAAGGTGAAGGGATTAAACAAACAAACAAAACAAACCTCTAGACACAGACAACAGTATGGTGATTACCAGAGGGAAAGGAAGTTATAGTAAGATAAATGTTGATGGAAGGAGACTTGACTTAGAGTGGTGAACACACAATACAATGTACAGATGATGTATTATAGAATTGTACACCTGAAACCTATATAATTTTATCAATATCACCCCAATGAATTAAATTTAAAAATTTGGATATCATTCACATACTTCCAACCACAGGGTATATATTCCATACAGAAACCCTTAAGCCTTTTGCTCTATTAAAAGTAGATATATATGACATATATATGAAGAAGTAGCATTTGGCAAAGTACAGGGAGCATAAATTATAATGAACTTATCTACATACTAGAGGCCCGGTGCATAAAATTCATGCACGAGTAGGGTCCCTAAACTTGGCCGGCGATCAGGGCCAATTGGAGCCTTCTGGCTGCCGGCTGGGGCCTTCCTTCGTTCCACGCTGCCTCCTGGTGGTCATCACACATTATAATGAGCGACCAAACTCCTGGTCAAACTCTCAAGGGGACAATTTGCATATTAGCCTTTTATAAAAGGCTAATATGCAAATTGACCCCTCAACTGGGAGTTCAACTGCTCACTATGACATGTGCTGACCACCAGGGGGTGGCGCAGAACATGGCGGGTGTTGGCGATGCGCTGCGACCTCTCACTGGCTACCTGGGGGCGGGGGTGATGGGGACAGAGATGCGGTGAGAATGTGGGGTGTCTGCTGAGCTTGCTCTCACTCCCCCTGCTACCATCCCCCAGGAGGCCAGGGCTCCCGCACTGGGGAATCCCCCATGCTCAGGTGCCAGGCGCTCTCAAGGAGCCTGCCCCGCACCTGCGCGGCCTCTCTGCTGGTACCACAGGGGCCAGTTGGGCTCCCCGTGGGTTCACACAGGAGCCGGTCTGCGAGGCTGGCCGGGAGAGAGCGCGCTGGCCTCCCGGCTTCCGTGCGGCGCCGGCGTCTTACTGCACTCACCACATCTCCACGTGGGGGCTCAGGCACCATGACTCTGGCGGAGGAGGTGCGTGGGGTCCTGGGGGCCCAGGTGCTGCCCAGGGCTCAGAGGTCAGCTGGGACCTGCCCTTCCATGCCAGACACTCGCACTTCGATCACTGGCCAGGCCTAGTGACCACGCCTGTGCACGAATTTCATGCACTAGGCCTCTAGTATAGATATAAAAGGCTAATATGCTAAGTGTCCGACGGTCTGGGTAATGACATCACGTAGCAATGCCCGGCTTCCTCTCCTAGTGACAACTAGCCTCCTTGCAGTTTCTTCAGCCCAGGAACCTGACTTGCTTTATACCCAGGTGGAAACATTTTACACTTTAAGCAAATGTCTGTGAAGCGTTTTCCCATGCCTCATCTCATTTGATCCTCACAGAAGTCCTGGAGTAGGTAGATAGGACACTTGGTGGAATCCTTTTTTTTTTTTTCATTAGCTGGAAAACAGATTTAGAAAGCTTAGAAATTTGACCCGACTGAAAAGAAGTAAGAAATGGTGGACCTTGAAAATGACTTCAGGTTTTCTCATTGCACAGAATATAGTCAAACACTGCTGCAGTTAAGTATTTTACCCTTTTTTCTCTATCCTGATCTACAATAATAATCTGCTTCATGTTGATATTTACTGCTGTGTTGCTGACAATTACCTGAAAGAGAAGTTGAGGTGCTTCACTGGGCTGGAAAAAGTTTAGCTAAATCAGAAAGCAGGTCTAATTAAGCAAGTTTATTCTATATCTATAAAAGGCTAAGTTGACTCACGCATGCACGATACATATAAAGGTCTTGCTGGCGCCAGTCGCATGTGTGTGTTTCCATCTGTCATTGTTGATTGTGAATTTGGTTGACACTTCTATTATAGAGAAAGGGCGAATAGCGATATTAAAATATTTCTTTTAATTAATTTCCTTTCAATGTGCATGAATTCGTGCATTGGGCCACTAGTTTCATATAAAGAAGAAAATAAGAACCCAGGTAAAATTTAGAATTTCTCCATTAATTTATTCCAACCTTGGCGTTATCCACTGACTTGCATCAGAGCGCCTCTTATTAATGTAACAGAAACTGCTTATCATTAAAGTCTCATCTTGGCATTTGTTCTTCAATTAAAGCCCCTTACGAACAGCTTATCTTTTAGCAGCCTGGTCTTTTGCCCCCACTAGAACTCCATTTTAAAGCTAATCAAAGACAGTGTTAAATTGCTTTTCTTGAGCCCCTGGTTATCTATCACAGTCTTAAGTCCTCTAAGCTTTCACTGGAAACATTCTATTAAATCAGACATAACTGGAGAAAAACAGTAGAGTATCTCAGGGTGAATGCACAAAACAGGTTCTCCAAAGAGGAGAACATTCTTTGATCAGTTTCTGGAAGGGAACTGCTAGCCAGGTGAAATGCTGGCCTACATGTAATGAATGCTTCCCCTGACCACCCCACACCCACTGAGCAGTCTGCAGGATTCTAAAACAGCTTCTGATGAAAACCTTTCAATTCACTTCCATGGGGCTCAAATTGCTTCTGATGAACACAACTTTTGAATTGCTTTAATGTCTTTTTTAAAAAAATAGACTTTTAGAGCACTTTTAGGTTCACAGCAAAATTGAGCAGAAAGTACAGAGTTTCTTTATAAATTCCCCCGCCCTGCGGCTGTGCCCTGCCCCTGTACACAGCCTCCCTCGCTGTCAACATCCTGTACCCGAGTGGTACATTTGTTAAAATGGATGAACCTGCATTGACACATCATTATCACTTCAAGTCCATGTTTTACAGTGTGGTCCATTCTTGGTGTTCACTCTAATGTTTTGTTTTTTTTTATTTTAACTTATGAAGGTTGTACACACTCAGTGCAAAATCACATAAACAATATAGAAAACTATAAACAGGAAAGTAAAAGTCATCTGTGAACATGTTGGTAGACATTCTTTTAACTATTTCTCTGCCTCTCGTTTTTTTCTGTCTCTCACATACACGGGTATAGAAACAGATGCTTCATGCAATTGACATCAGACAGTACATGTAGTTTTGTAATGTGCCTTTTTCTTTCAATATGTTATGGATATATCTGTCAAATATTATTTATATCATTGTTTCTTTCCTTTTTA